TCCAACCAATCGGCAATGTTCCGAAGGGTTTGACAGTACGTGGCCATAGTCATCGTACCCTTGATGGTGGTTCGGAACTGGTGCTCGAGTTGCATTGCCCGAGCATGCTTGTTGTCATGAAAAAGTGCATGAATAACCTGCCATAATTCAGCTGCGGTGGAGGTGGTGGAGATGACCAGATCTGAGACTTCGTCAGAAATAGTAGAGAGAATCCACCCTTGGATCAGGGCATCAAGCTAGTACCATTCATCATCATCATCGGCAGAGGAGGGAGATGAAGAACCCGAGAGAAAACCGTGGAGAGTGAATCGGCGCACCAGGAGAAGAAAAAGCCGGCTCCACTTTTTGTAATTGGGCTGAGAGAAGCTCAGCTGAATCGGGACATGAAGCTTGACGTTGGAGATTGTGGTGAAAGCGAGATGAGGGGGATTGGAGGAGGAGGAGGAGATTGAATTTTCTGTATTTTTGTCGGAGGAAGCCATATGGAAGGAGGAGGTGAGGTTTCGCCGACGTGGGGCTGTGCCGTCGCCGAGGACAGTCCGCCGAGAGAGAGGAGGGCGGCGGCGGCTGAGCGGCTAGAGAAGGGCACGCCGAGAGAGAGAGGAAGAGGAGGTAGGGTTAGGGTTTTTGGTTTGAGAATTATGGCTCCGATACCATGAAGAATTGTGATTTTTCTTGAATAATAAAGTGGGAGTACATGGGTTTATATATACAACCTTTTCCTAATCCTAATCATGGTAGGATTCTACAATAGGAAACAATATTTGTATAATTAATATAGAATATATATTTAACATAAATATAGAATATATTTAACATTGATGTTTGCAATTGTTAATTTCATTTATAAACTATTGAGAAATCGTATACATGCATTCTGCGAAAAGGCCTTTTGATGCCGCACTTCAAGCCTTTGCTGAAAGAGGGACAAATACATGGAATTCAAAATCTATTTGTCCCAAATAATTCTCAAAACTTGACAGACCATTAGTACAAGCTATCATTGGTGAAAGACACACATAATAGATGTCAAGGACGAATCATTCCCTGAAGTAGCCTTCAAATTTGCAAATTTTTAAGTACTCAACGTTACGACTCATATTCAATACCGAGCAATGTTTGGTAATGTTATAAAAAACTACATTCCTTTCATAAAATACTTCTTTGTACCTATACCTTTATTTGATTTAATTTTGTGACTTTTTAAAGAAAGTTTAGATCTTATTAGATTGTCGCATGTTGATCAACCACCGACCAACAGATTTAGAAAAGTGAAGCAAAAGTTAAAGTGATGTTTATTTTCCTTGAAGATTTGGAGTACACTATTATTGTTTTTCCTCGGCTATGCTTGCATATTATGTTATATACGGAGTACTATTTACTGAGCAGTATCCTATAATATAGACAGATAAGACATTTAACTTGAACAATATTGCTTGAAACAAAAATTCACCTAAGCCAAACAATAAATTTACCTCATGAAACCAGCCTATAGTCAGTACAATCTGATCCGGAAAGAACATTTCCTATGCCTTGTAGGTTACAATAGCTACTACTTCAAAAAACCTACACATTTAGAAATATCAGATTGGTATTAGTCAATAATAGTCTGAAATTAAGATTCATTAGGATATATACCACTCTTTGGAAAACAAGCTGAATCATTTTTAAAGGACATTGTATATGCTTTTTCTTTCAAAAGTCTAACTACCATTTGAATCAAGTTTATTAAAATAGCACAGATTTAGGCACTGTTCTTTTCTTATTAAGACAACTCCTAAAGTGCTTTGTTTTAGCGTGGCCTATTTCCCTGTGTTTTATTTCTACTGGCTCCTAAGTTGACTATTTCCTTTATTTTGTTTTAAATTATCATGCTATGAGCCAAGAATTTGTACCCCAAGAATTTGTACCCAATTTTGTACACCGCATGGATGCACCAACATTTTGTGTTTGTGTAATGCTAATTTTTATTAACGCACCAACACTTTGTGTCGGTGTAAATTTTTGTTAACACACTAACACTATGTGTCATTGTGAATCATCAAAATGTTGGTTCATACCTTTGGTGTATAAGTGGGGTACAAATTTTGGGATACATGTAGCATGCTCCTTTCTTTATTTTGGGCGAAGTCAAATACATTAAAAAGCTTTACTTTTTTGAATTTAAAAGGGTATTTGGACAGGATGAAAAACAAAGAGAAAAAAAAAGGTAATTCCCTGTGTATTTAATAAAGTGTAATAGAAAAAGGAAAGAATTAATAAAGATGTGTTAGGAAAAATATGGTTTCCGTAACAATAATCCAACATGTCTTAGTCATGGACAACTCTATGTTGCAGTTTCAAAAGTAACTAATGTAGTTTATAAAGAAGTCGTTCAAAATTTGTAAAACAATGATATTTTGTACCTTAAAATAATATAATCGTTATATTTATTGTATCTCATTTTTTATCATTGAAAAATGATTTAAATTTAATAACATAAAAATGACTCATGCAACGCCAGGTGTGATGCTAGTAAATATTGAAAAATTTGAATTTTTTTTAGCCGTGGATGGCACAAGTATGAAATCTAGTTAATAATAAAGAAAAAACATTTACTCCAATAATACTGGAGTAGTTACATTACATGTACTCCCTGTATCCCAAACAAGAGTTTCATTTGACTATAGTATACAAAAATGTATCAAATTAATCTGCAAAACATAATATCATTGATTAAACTAAATTTACAAAATGTATTTCCTACTTTCTAATATTGAAAAATGTAAAAATATAAATTTTACTAACCTTTCAAAGTCCTCATATTTGAGAGAATAAAAAAATGAAATTAAAAATTCATTTTGGAAGGTGAGAAATAGAAGTCAACCTAACTACTAGTTACCCCGGAACCCAACTCATGAGACAATTTGTACACCAAAAAGAGTGAATCCGGCTGCTTTCACGGCCATATTTTCCTTTTCCAATTCTACCCCTCCTTCCCTCCGTGTCTCTTTATTCTGGTCCTTGTTGTTAATGTCATTGTCCTTGTTATATTCCACGTCTACCACGCAAATTGACCGACGTGCCCCTGGCCCATTACTGTTCTCATCCTTGTTGAACTCATAAGCCGAGAAAACAACCGTGTCCCGAGCCTTAACCCCCTTGTCCTTAACGAACCGGTTCCAGCCCCGGGTGAACACGAAGCTCTGGCTGCTCTTCCAATAACAGTACCGAAACTTCCACGACCGCATCGACCTGTCGTAGAACACGAGCTCCGTCTCTTCGCCGTCCGCGTCCCCGACGGCCTTCTCCGAGGGCGGCGGTGCCGCCCGGGGAAAGTACTTGAGCGCGTACTTCTTCGGGATCACGAGCCGGTTCAGCTTCCCGACGTCGCTCGGAGTCAGCTCTTTCTTGAAGAGCTGCCTCAGAACCGAGCACGCCGGCTCGCTGCTGCCCGCCAGGCCGGTCAGACTCGCCTGACCGCCCTGGGCAGCAGCAGCAGCGAGCCGCGTGCAATGGTCTGAGAACTTCTGGGCGTAGGACCCGTCCTTGATCATCTTCAGGAGCTCTCCGGTCTGGAACTGGCTCTGGAAGGAGGGCTCCTGGAGGGTGAGGCGGGTCCACGCAAAGTTGCGGTGGGCGTCGCCGCGGCGGAGGCGCAGGGCGGCACTGTCGTAGGCCGAGGCGGCCTCCTCCTCGGTCTTGAACGTGCCGAGCCACACCCTCTGGTGGTTGGCGTATATCTGCGCCCCCCAGTTGCCGCTTTGCTGCGCGACGACGCCCTTGAACCTCGAGGAGGAGGCGGGGGCGGCGGCGTTGCTGGCGGGGACGGGATTTTCCTGCAGCCTCCGTCGCTTGTGGCGGTCGTGTTGCTCCGTCGAGCTGCCGGAGTCGGTGGCTTCCGCCGTGAGGTTTGTGGTGCCGCTGGCTATGATTTCCTCCATTGTTGAGTTTTGGGCTGGCCAAGAAAATAGAAATGCACAAATTATATAATGCATGCATGGATTCGGACTTTTTTTTTGGACTTTCCTATTTTCAATAAATTATTTTAAGCAAGTGCATGCCACTCATGTTCTTATTTGTTAATTCTTGGTTTGACTCTTATTCTTATAAAGATTTTGTGTGATTTGTTTTGGGAAACATCCCATATTTAGCTTAAGCTTATTATATTTAAATCAAATCATAAATCATTACAAAAACAAATACAAATGGCCAAATTACGTGATTGAGATTTATTTAGAGTAAAGAGAAATAATATCAACTATAAAATCTTTTCATAAAAGGAAAGAGGAAATAGTTTTGAAGCAAAATAAAATAGATCAAAAAACGAAGATAAAATAGAGACAATGAATAGTACTCCCTCAGTTCCTAAATAAACTTCCGTTTTTGACTTTTTGAGGATTTAAGGGAGGGATATTTTGGTGTTGACTTTCCAAAAATACCCTTGATGTGATTTGTAAAAGTAAGATATGATATGTAGATTATTAGTAAAAAGGTATGATGTGATAGGTAAGGTATGAAAAAGTAAGGGATAAAAGGAGTTTTTTAAGGGAAAAGGAAAGTTTATTTAGGGACAAAGAAAAAACGAAAGAGGAAGTTTATTTAGGGACGGAGTGAGTATTATTTAACTTATTTTAGTTCTAAAGAAAATTGAGGATATTAATTAAAACAAGAGTTGATTATGGAGAAAAATAAATGTAACAAATCCCTACATACCTTAATTAAAACATGATTGACAAACTTATTTATGAGATGAATAGCTAATTAATTACATACTTTATATAATCCTTTCAAGTCATGTAAAGAAGACTTCCATCCATGGTTTGATTTGCCAGCATTAGATTTATTGATTGTTTACGTAGATAATATGGTGTAGTATCCCAATCAAGGTTAAAATATGTTCAACAATCAAATACAACTTCTGTCCAAATATAAGAAATATTGTTCCTTCCTAGTCTATTTGTTTATTTAGACTTTTTCAAATCAAATTAGACCAATTTTAAACTTCAAATAAATAAAAAAATACACTCAATTAAAATGGTCTAATTATATTCACCTTGTCAAGAATTTTCAAAATTTTATCTCATTATATTACTCCCTCTGTCCAATTTTAAATTGCATGTTTGCTTTTTTTCTCCGTCCCAAAATAAGTTGTCTGTTAGTTGTTTTCGTAAACTTTTAAAAATAAAATACCTAAACTACCCCTAAAATAAGTCAATCTTCTTCACCTTATCTTCTCAGTCATCATCACCCCTTCTAAAAAGTAATGTCAATTTCGAAAAATCAACTCTATTTTTTATTTTCCTTAAATATATCCAAAAATCAAAATAGGCGATTTAAATTGGGACGGATGGAGTAATATGCAATTCAATGTTCTATGATATGTCTAACTAAATGACCTCTAAAAAGTTGACAACAACAAAAATATAATTTCATTAATTGTTGAGAAAATGATCTTCTAGTTGTATTATACGGAGTATGTCCTTGTCCCCCTAGAGCTTTATGGATTCCGTTATTCTATTCAAATGTGTTAAAGTTTGACAAATGTTTATAATCGACACACTTAAATAACATTTATAAAATCAAATATATTTTTATAAACCTCTTGACACAAGAAAAACATGTTTATAATTAATATTTTTATACATACTAAAAAACATTTGTCTTGATTGTAGATTAGCTATCAATGTTTAACACATTTTTTTGTGGACAAATCGAATAAAAAAACCTCCCGCGAAGTATTTATTGATGCTAAAAATGATATGAATTCTTAAATCAAAAAATAAAGTACATGTTTAATTAACAGATCTGAGATAATAATTCTTACTGACATGGAAGAATGATCATCTGACAGTGATATTTTGAGTGAAAAAAAACAAAACACCTAAGTGTTTGAGGGTTTTGATATTTAAAAAAAGACATTTAATTTACTTCAAAGTACCCTAGCAAACTACAATGTTTTTTTCTTTAAAAAAATAGAGGTAAGAAAAAACAATAGGGGATTTAAGTAGAGTATATATAATATATGTATCTGGCAAACCAAGTTGAAGGTTTGTGTTCATCATGATTTTCATATGATTAACTTAATTAACCCAATACTAATAATATAAAGACAACATAAATTATAACTTCATTCTTCTATTTGGGCACTATATTGCCAGTGATGTATTAGTAATCTTCAATTCAGAGAATTATTATTTCGTGATTGATTCGAATTCTTAATTAGGGCTAAATTTTCTTCTTAATCACTTTAAGGAAACAAAATCACCTTCAAATTATTTTCAGATACTCCGTACTAATTATTTACAAAAAAATAATCTGGTCATCAGCACCTTCATTTGACTGATGAATTTTACTAGTTAGTTCCTTGCTTACCAAAGATTGCTTTAATGAATAGTGTAATAATAAGTTCTCACCTCGTTATTCTAATCTTCACAAGCTTCTAGATTTCCTTTATAAATTGTTTCAAAATAGGTTTTCATTATCCTTTGAATAAAGAATATATATACTATTTTTATTTTAAAATTAACTTCTCATTTGATTTTCACGATCTGCAATATATTATTTTGATAATTAATATCTCTATTAATATATACCGAGTAAGAATATATTATTAGAATAAAATATTTTAAAATTACGTTTCAAAAAATAGATATATTGATATTAACTTTACATAAAAATTATATATATATATTTTCGTAATATACAGTTAACGTTCAAAAAGTTTGACTATGAAAGCCAAACTGGAAAGCTAATTCTAAGACGGATTGAATATATAGTTGTTTTTTAAATTTAGATAGACAATAACACCCTTGTAATTGTGGTTGACTGAATTCATTTTGAATTCGTTTTTTTAAATAGAAATTGGGTTAAAACATATGATATGAGGATTATATTATAATAAAAAAACAAGTAGTCAATCTGTTCAAAAAAGCAAAGAGTCAACCTTTTTAGGACGTGCGTGCCTAAAAAGATAGTATAGTATAACTGTATACATTTACGAAACCATAGATGATATAACTCGTGATCTATATGTTAATACCTCCGTCTCAATTTAAATCATTTATTTCAATTAATGATACTTGATTGAAGTTATTTTTAATACAATTTATTTAAAAATTAGAACGGAATTTAAACAATATATTTACATATTTTAGAGTTATACCTAATATTCTACTCCCTTTGTCCAAAGTTCAAACAAGAGATGACATGACTCTATTCTCTCTATCCCAAAAAGAATATTGCATTACACAAAACAAAAATCATTTTATTTAAAAATTGATATAGAAAGAAGTAAAGAATAAAACTTACATATTTAAATTACATAAAAAATTGTACAAATAACAAAAATATTTTATTTTATTAAATTATCAATAAAATTGCACAAATAAACAAAAATTCCTATAATTTTTTGAATAATAAAGTGACATCTTTTTGGGACAAAGGGAGTTTTATTTTATCAAATGAGTAGAAAAAACAAAAAAAAAAGTATATAGAATTTAACCATAGAAATAATAAATAGACAACTTAATTTGGAAAGGAAGTACTAATGTCTAATTTGAAATCCTAGGGTAAGTTACACATTTCCACTTCTCACATGATAATGAATTTATGACAATGGAAAGCAAAGAAAGAGGACAAATAGAAAGGCTTTGAGAAGGTAGGCATGGTTAGATGGACACATTGAAATTATACCTCCTAAAAAAATGAGAACCCCCTCCCCCAATGGCATTCCACAACTAAGCATATCACCCTGTATATTAAAGACAAGAACTGAGAAAGACTGATAATTACTTGAGAAAGCCTTGGAACAGACAAAAAAAAAGCAGCTTTCTCAAATACTTGAGACTAAATTAAATAAATTGAAATCATGCTTTCATTTTCCCTCTATTTTACATCTATAAAAGCTCTATGTTACAAATCAAAATTTTTGGAGGTGTAAAGGCCACAAGCTCAACTTTCTCTCACACTCAGATTAGAAAGAAGCCTCTGAGCTTTACACTAACGGAATAAGCTTTACGTGACACATTGTGGATATTAGTTAGTGCACACACACTATGACGTATGACGTCACACAACCATGGTGGGCTTTGGGGAAAAACCCCTCTTTCAATGAATTTGGTGTTCCTTTTTTATAGGGCATAATCCCCCCCTAACATTCAAGAACACAAGCAAAAACAGTTCAACCCGCCGAGTTCCCACCGTATATTCTTTGTCCAAGCCTCCTGATTTCCCCACCAATAATAGGATTCAATCAAACCCCGAGCATTCAATATGGAATAACGTATGGCAAAGCATAAATGTCTGCAGATTCTAAGTGCCGAGCTTCAGACCATACCTGCAGCTCCACGTTGGAACCCACCCCTGGCTTTCTAACCAAAGGTTTTTTGCTTCCAAACAACCATTCATTGCCATCATCGTCACAGTCAATCAACTCTTCAATTTTGGGAACAGTGAGTATCTGGCTCAGATACTTGGTATCGGGATGAGGGGATTTCTTAGATGACTCAACGACTAAATTGGGATGACGAAGCTTCTTGGATGTCTCAGCAGATTGATGGGGAGGTTTTCTAGAAGCTTCAACAATTTGATCAGCTTCTGGAGGTTTCCGAAGTGCTTCAGCAATTCGATCAGCTTCAGGAGGTTTACGAAGCGTTTCAACAATTCGATTGGCTTCAGGAGGTTTCCCAAGTGTTTCAGCAATTCGATTAGCTTCAGGAGGTTTCCCAAGTGTTTCAGCAATTCGATTAGCTTCAGGAGGTTTCCCAAGTGTTTCAGCAATTCGATTAGCTTCAAGAGGTTCCCCAAGTGTTTCATCAATTTGATCATGATAAGAATGTTTGCCAAGAGTTTCAGCAATGTGATCATAATGAGGTTTGCCAAGGTTTTCGGCAATTTGATCAGTGCGAGGAGGTTTTCCAAGAGTTTCAGAAATTTGATCAACGTGAAGGGTTCTCCGAGATGTTTCTGCAGTTGGATCACCTTGAGGAGATTTCCTAGGTGTTTCAGCAATTTGACCAACACCAGTGGCTGGTGGTGAAAGCTTTGGTCTCGGAATAGACAATGGCTGACCATGCACAGTACCATTCATCCTCGGCACCTTATTAACCACCTTAAGCTCAGAAGAACCTAGTCTATTTGAATTGAAGGAAACACGGAGAGTTTCAACTTTGATTCCATTCTGCATTGGCTCATGAGAGGCAGGCTTGGGTATTTTAGAAGGCCTAGCTTCATTATCTGCAATGGGAAAAAAATAGACACACAGCACCACTATCAGTCAGCCAAGCAAAAGGTCAAGTAGAGCTGAATTATGATCAAGGCAAATTTTGAAAAAAATATGATGTTTAGAAATTCTTAACAGAAATATACAGGGTAATCTACTTTGAAAAATGATTTAGGACATACAATAGTAATTTGCCACCAAAGCTTTACATGCATTATTATGTTATGGGCTAGATAGCAACTTCGAATGCACTCATGTACCAGAACTCACCATACAGCAAGCCATTCGTAACCAGTTTTCGTTTTTTGAGATTTACATCAAAAGTGGAGCCAGCATTGTTATCCCTTGAAAGTTCTGAAATTTGATTGCTGCTAATGTCTAGGAGCTTATCATGCTCAATTTTCTGCTTCGACTTCTCCTTTTTCTTCTCTTTTTCACGGTCTTTACTTTTCTTGTGTCTTTTCTTATCTCTATCTTTATCCTTGCTCTTGTCTCCCAATTTTTCATCACCTCTTTCTCTATTCTTCTCTTTTTCCCCTTTCCTTTGATTATTATTCTCTTCCAGTGTTCTGGGCATTCCTTCAAGCATACTTTTGTTGAGCCCTGTGAAGTTGGGGAGATTTGCATTTCCACTATGTCTAGATTCATTTGGGATTGGATCCATCTTTCTAGAATCAAAACCCTTCTCCATGTAGGTCTCCTTATTTTCAACAAAAATCCTTGATTCCTTGACAACACCAGCCATAGGCATTCCTTCGAGTTGAAATTTGCTGGCATCAGTGATGTTGGGGAGAATTGCATTTCCACCATGTCTAGATTCATTTTGGATTGCACGTGGATCCATCTTCCTGCAATCAAAACTCTTCTCCATGTAGGTCTCCTTATTTTCAACAAAATTCCTTGAATCCTTGACCACACCAGCCATAGGCATTCCTTCAAGTTGAAATTTGCTGGCCCCAGGGATGTTAGAAAAGGACACTGCAGTACCACTATATCCAGATCCATTCTTGATTACACCCACAAATTCCATCTTCCTGTTATCAACACCACTCCTATCCATGGTAGTTCCTGTGTCTTGAGACGAACTTCTAGAAACCTTGACACCAATAACCCTGCCCATCCGTTCATTGTTATTCTCAGCAAGGAATCTTCCCGCCAACTGGGTTCCTTTTCCATTTTCTTCATTTCTGATCCTCCTACCCAGCTCCTGCACAAATTTTGCATCCTCTGCCTCTCCAGCAAGATCCTTGCCTTTAATGGTCTCCTGCCCAATGAAGTTCTTATCACGATCAAATTTCTTATCAAATTCAGCTGCACAATAAGTCTTCCTGTTGTAATCAACACCACTCTTTGCCATGTTAGTTCCCTTATCTTGAGCCAAACTTCTAGAAACCTTGACCCCAATAGCCATGTCCGTCCTTTTATCATTATTCCCCTCGCCACGGAATCTTCCCACCAACTGGATCCCTTTTCCATTTTCTTCATTTCTGATCCTCCTACCCAGCTCCTGCACAAATTTTGCCTCTTCTGCCTCACGAACAAGATCCGTGCCTTTAGAGGCTTCCTGCCCATGCTGGAATTGTAATGGAAAAGTGTGTCCCTTTTCCTCTGAACTAATGAAGTTTTTATTGTGCTCAACTTTCCTATCAGATTCTCCTGCACACGAAGAAGATCCAGGATCCCACACAGCTGGTGCTTCCTTAAAAATGCCTTTTTTATCTTCATCTTTGCTTTTGGTCTCTTTGTCCCTTTTCTTGTCCCTACTCTTTTCCTTCTTGTCCTTGTGTTTATCTTTCTTGTCTTTCTTTTCTCTGTGTTTCTCCTCCCGCCCATCTTTATTCTTTTTTTCTTTACCTTCTTTCTTCTCCTTATCTTTCTTCTTTTTATGTTTTTTCTCTTTGTGCTTCTCCTGAAATAGATGCAAGAGACATAGTTAAAACAACTGCAACACATGTACTGCTGTGATGAGTGTGATTCCAGATTTGATCCTGATGGATCATTAAGAAGTGCAAAAGGGGAACCTAAAATAAGGGAATCCCAACACATTGCACTTCATAGTGATGGATGAGTTAAAATTAGTTTCACTACAAATATTGAAGTTCACTCATAATAGACAAATGTAAATAAAAGTAAATGCAGGGAGCCCAAATTAGGAATTCCATAGATCAAATGCTTGCTTCCTGATCAAATAAACAAAGCAGCACCAGGAATGTGTTATGAGTTCTTGTAGCATCATAACTGAATGTAACTGACACCAAGAGAGAAAGCCAAAAACAGCTCTTCAATCACTACTACGACAGTTTACTTGGCCTAAAAAAGAGTAATTAAGAAATAAATAGGCAAGCAGCAAACATTAGGATTAAAATTTAAAACAAGTTTCAGATAAGCAGAGTCTTTTGATTGTTGATACGCCATCAAACAAATCATGGGAGAATGGGAGAGATAGGAGAAACAAATTACAAGGGAGTAGGCCTCACATGATACTCTCTTCGTCCCAACAAGTGTCCTATGTGAACCAAAGAAGCTAGTATTAATCACACTCCCTCCGTCCCGAATCATGATTCCACATTTGACTGGTCACAATTATTACAAAAGGTGAAATTGAGTGGTTGAGTTAGAAATGATGTAAGAATGTAATCATTCTTTAAAAGGGAATGGAAACCTTATTTTGGGACAAACAAAAAAGAAAATGTAAAATTTTTTTGGGGACAAAGGAAGTACTAAATGTTTTTTTATGAAAAATGTTTCCCAGATAAGTTGAGTGTGTAGCATTTAGTTAGACCAATAAATAAATTCAAAACATATACTTGTGATTTCCAATAATTGCCAACAATAACAGCCCACTATACTCAAACAAGGGTTTGGAGCGGGTGGATGTAATAAATGTTTTTTTTATGAAAAATGTTTCCCAGATGAGTTTTCGAAAGACTCAAGTCACTCAACTCATAACACATAAAGACAGTTTAGAACAATTAACAGTAAAGATTAAACAAGTAAATCAGTACTGAAAACAAACACGAGTCCAATGTCAAATTACTCTACGGCCATAAGCTAAAACCATGAAACTCCCCTTTATAGGATCATGTCCTCGCTAAACTATCGCAAAAACATGTCATGTCTAATCACCACTCTAACTCTTCTTTGGTCTACCCCTCTATCTCCACAAACCCCCACCGCTAACCAATCACACCTCATTTGGCATTTGCGTTCCTCTAAACATGCATGAACAACCTTAATCTTGTTTCACATAAATGATCCATGCAAGGCACTCCCACCATGTTCCGTATATCCTCGTTCTTAATCTTATCCCTCCTAGTATGTGTGCACATCCACCTAAGCATACGCATCACTGCTACTTCCAGCTTCCACACATGGGTGATCTTAACTAACCAACCCTCTGGTTCCATAATTACTTTGTAGATACCTTTGTGAAAGTACTTAGAAGCCAATTGAGCCATTGAAATCAATATATATCATTAAAGACACCCCTGAAACTAATGACATATGAAAAAGATAACCCACTTTTCAAAACAAAATACTCTGTAATATATACATGAATACTGTAAGCAGCCTTCAACCCATATCCAATCCCCTAACTCTGTAATATATACATGTTTCCTTTTTGTTCCATTTAAAGAAATTATTATATAGTTTACATAATTTCTCTTTCCTATGCATAACTCTGAAGTCTAAACCACTCAACTTCACCTTTTTTAATAATCGTGTCTAGTCAAACTTGGAACCTTAATTCGGGATGGATGGAGTGAATAAATATGTATAAGGGAAATCTAGGGAGACTATATCATTACTTAGAGTATAAAGAAAAAAAGATTTCACATGATTTAAGTCTTCAAGGTTGCACTATAACTCTCTTTGCAACTTGTAAGAAGGATGCATACAACTAAGCATAAAAAAAAAGTTTTGGTCAACCCTTTCATTGTTAAATAGGATTTCCCTTTTTTCCATTGGAGGTGTAAGAGAAAGACTAGATGTTTCAAAATATAAATAGAAAGTATTACGAACTCTGCTAAACTCAACTTAGCAAGCCACTTCTTGTTTCCTTGGCTCTCTGAAATTTGTTCACCTCACATTAACGTGGAATCCCCAGTTCCAAGATTGTGAGAAATGTGTAGTGCATATCATTGCCAACATTAAATTGAAAATTATGGAGTAAACTTCATGAGCGAAATGCATTTAGAAACCGAAAAAACATCCAGGATGTCAGCAGAATCTCATATATTTGAAAGAACATATTATCCGTTACTCGGGATGGAATTCAAGTTAACTTATACAAGTTAATTCTATGACTTATACAAGTTAATTCTATGATGGAATTCATTCTTTTTGAGTTTGACATCAATACTGCATTATGTTTGCCTCGTGCATCGTGACACACATCAACCATGCTGCCTACTTTCAAATTCTAAGATGTGAAGTTAAAAAGTGGGACGCAAAAACAACAGGTGGTGGTTCAACATATTTATCACACAAATGTAAAATGTCATCAAGCAACTGTAATGCATATTACAAGGAATGCCAACATGAAGCTAGGCAACTTCCGTATTCAGCTAAACTCATGACAAAGACATAGAGCATATGTGCAAGTTGATCCTTCAAATTCCAGAAGTATTGTACCACAGTGAAACCAGAATAAATTATGAATCAAGGATTGATGCTAATAGCATGAGCATATCAATGAGGTATAAATAATCCATTTGGACTTTATGCTGGAAGGTTCATTAAAATGAAGCTTCTCTGAAAAACTCTAACAGATTTATAATATTAGCATCACAGCAAGCAGGAGTCTCATGAGGCAATACTTGAACATTTGCCAAGCTGAACATTGCATAACGATGAATCATCACAGACAATAACCAACTGTCACAGTTCAATACTCTGTCTAACAAATTAAATGGAACAATTTGACCCATTTCAAAAACTATAACTCTCATCGTCTAATGCCTTCAAAATCTAAAGGGCAACATCCTCCTAAGAAAATTAGTGTAAATCATTTTTTCCTAAAAGGACTAAATCATTTTATTGGTATTCCCACCCAAACCCACAACTCCTAACATACATGTTATCAAATATTAACTATATAGTTGTGCCAATGAATTTATGAAGTTACAATCGTGCATTACTAAACCTTCTGGATATCTACATGAATAGATGATTATTGCATATGTGTTTTCTACAGTGCCAGTACACATCTAGTGCACAACAAAACAAGCCCACTTCAGCAACACTGAAGGATAGTGTTGGCGACACATTCATCATTTTCAATCAAAGTTTAAATGAAAAATATGCATTCAACTCAGGTAGGTAAGAGAAATCAATAAAACAAATTAGGCATAGGTACTCCATGGGGTCAAATTTTAAAAAAAAAACTTCAGCATTCATTGGAAGTTGCAACCCAAAAAAACCAGCCAAACTGACCAAAAATTACCTTCTCATTGTACGCAAATAAGAGGTAGCGTGACAGTTGTAATCATAAAACAAACCTCTTTTAGCAAGTCTGCAACATCTGAATTCGGCTTCTTTTCATATCCTTCTGGTGGAAATGGAAAGCAGCGAGACATTGCACACAAATTTATAAACAGCAAAAAGAGTGCTTTTGGAAAAAGAATATCCTCCTGTTACTTTCTCACAACAATGTTCCAGCAAGGGAACACGCCAGAAACTATTTTCTTGTCCATGCACCATGACCCCACATTCCTTTTGAGCTTAGTAAGCCTCCATTTTAACTATCCGTTGAATCAGTCCACCAGAGCCACTCTCTACTAAGTTACACTCCAGATGCACAAGAAGCTCCAACAGTATTGTTGACAACTAGATGGAAAGCAAATCACCGTGGCACTCACCGACAACAGTTGAAAATGCACTATAATTCACTGCTATAGAGCACAATCATCCACAAAAACCAAGTTAATCCAAAATGTTTCTTCAGATGAAAATATCCAAATGTGAATTTGGTATCTTTTACCTATAAAAACTTCCAAAGTGTTCTCAACTTTATTCCTTTTCTCTTCACTCCCTCTACACAATTCTACTTGTACCTACAGTCCTCTTCCATGCCCTTTCAGAACAAGCAGAAGAGAATACTAGTATTATTCACTTAGGATCATCAAGAAGATTGGAATCCAAGCTAATTTTAAGCTTGAAGGCCAGTAGGGGCATAGTGCACTACCATTAATAGGGCGATACGTCAATGAAATTGTGAGGGATGAAAAGCCACTATGCACCACCCAGCAATATGAACTAAACGGGCAAGTTCAAATTGCAGATCAAAACCCTAACTCAGTGAAAATTCTGATCCGATTGAAGAACCCTAGAAACAGAGAAAACCCAAGATAAAGCCATAAGCAGCAATCGCTCAGTACCCAAATATAAGAACCCAAAAAAACTTCCTGAAACCCTAATATGTGAAAAAACATAATGGAAGAAGATTAAAAAAAGCAAAGAAATCAAAGTGAAAATTCAACACTTTTTCAAAAAACAAAATCACTATTTCCACTCAAAAAACGATTAAATCCGGATAAATACATGCCGATGAAACTAGGCTGAAATTTAAGCGACGAGTTCGCAATTCGCATTGATTTTGTATACCTTGTCCGCTACAAAGCGAAGATCATTGTAGGAAGGACAAGATCTCAGTTAAGAGCGTTCAAACTAAATAAAAAATACACAGCGATTATATTATCAGAAACAATGGGAGAAAAAATCAATCCGGTTTCTTGCGTTGTTCAAAGTCGATTTCGGGTATATTTTGTTGATAAATGAGAGGGAAGAGGGGTTTGAAGAAGTGGGTTTTTTGTTCCTTCTTCGATGTCTGCTTGGATGTTCGGAAACGCGAGATGGGAAGGAAAGAGAGCCAGATGAGAAGGCCTAAGCCTCACATATATTCAGAGAGAGAAGAGAAGAGAGAAATTCTTCTTTTCTCTCTCCCTCTTGTGACCGTTTGATCATTGATGAAGACGCTATAGGTCGCTTCTAAGCTAAAGATATGCGCCATGTCTTGTGTAAATGTGTAATAGGTGTTTTGTGTGTGTGTTTATTAGTTTATTATTGATAATAGTTTTTTTTAAATTGCTTAAAAGTTAAATATTTTTTTATTTAAGTAAAAAGATTTAGATGATAGATAGGTTATTTTGAAATATTCATAAATGGTGAAGAAAAGTTTTGTAAATAATCTAGTAAAAAAATAAAAAAAGTAGTTTAAAAATAAGTAATTAAGACCTACTTAATTTTCTCGTTTATAAGCAGCATATAAGTACACATAAATATGTTATCAGTTGACTTCTAAGTTAAAACCAGCTTATAAGCAGTTTCGACCAGCTTATAAGCACAAGGAAACACTCACTAAATGCGCCTTTTTTACCGTCTGGTCTATTATGAAGGACATTTAGAAATGAGACTTCTTTAATAAATGAGTCTTCATTTGTAGATCAGAACTAAACCGTACGATTTAGAGTATACTTGGATATAGACCAATTTTTTAGTTAGTTTCGGTCTGATTCTAGTCTTTATTCTCAATCTCTTTTAAGTTGATTTCTTGGTGCAAAATGGTAAATGACTGAGATCCTTATATGAATATTGTTGTTACTCGTAAAATATTAAGAATTGGATAATACACAAGCCACAATTACGAGCTTGTTTTTTAGAGCGTAAACTCTTAACTTCTAGTTTCTTCCAATTTTATCAATTCTTTCCAGTTTCTTCACTTCCTTTTAGTTTCTTCGAGAATCTTCCAGTTTTTTCTAGCTATTCAAGTTTTTCCAACTATTCACATTTTCTTCAATATGTTTCTACTTCCAATCTAAAACGATTGGTTTTTCATAAAGGCAAAATTCACAAGAATACTCCTAGAAATTTCAAATTTTACATAAATACTCCCAAATTTGTTTATTTACATAGTTACTCCCACATTTGTCTATTATTTACGTCGTTACTCCGTGATTGCTTCATCATCAGTATTCCTCGGGTGCATCTTTTTAAACGGGGTTCTTAATCTTTTTTTATTGAATTCAAATTAAATTAATATGAACAGACTTGATATTAAACATTAAAAAGATTTAGGAAGTTTGAAATCTGAATTTTTTTAAAAAAGTGATGGAAATAAGGACAATGATTAGGCTTACTAAGACGTGAGAAAGTCGATGGAGAGACTAAGTTGAGGTGAATTTGGTATATTAGAGTGAAAAAAATACATGTCTGCATTTTAACTGCTCACTTAGCGCAAAAAAACGCATCCAAGTAATACTAATGATTACTACCAAATTTGGGAGCAATGATGTAAATAAAAAAAAATGTGGAAATAATGATGTAAATAAACAAATTTGGGAGTATTTATGTAAAATCTATAATTTTTGGGAGTATTCTTGTCAATTTTGCCTTTCATAAATTATAATTAGTGTTACTATTATTGTAACGCCCCAAAACATACCCTAGAATTATTAATGAATAAATAATCAATTAATCACAATTATTTCAATTAAAATAAATTATTGTTGGGCTTTGGGCCGATATTAAATTTGTTTTGACATCTAATATCAAAATCTGGATAAGTCTCATAGAGATAAATCCAATATGTGGACTATTTGTGTGGTCTTGATTGGGAACCTGAGTACAGACCCAAATCAAGAGTAAATAAAAAAAATTTGTTTAGAATGTAAATATTGAAATGATTTGTTGAAATAAATCATGAGAATAATTGATGTGAATTAAATGAGAGAACCTTTTATGAGAAAGGTCAATTAAACCAATTTTGACTCTGTCAAAGTCAACCACCCAAAAATATGATGTCGGAAAAAGTGTTACAAATAAATATAAAAATTATATTTATCGATAGAGTTTAACTCTCTGATCGCAACGGTGCAAACGGAATTCAATTCAGAGAAAGTTGGACCAAAAAGTGTACCCCGACTGGAACTAAAATTAGCCTCAATCAAAGAAAGGCATGTATAATCGAATCAAATCGCAGCCTAGCGCACTGAGCCGTCCACGAACGTGAATGATGTTTCTCTCCCTTGGCAGCTTCCTCTCCTTCCTACTATATAAGAAGGCTTCCATATACCATTTTTTTACACCAAAATCTTCCTTTCTTCTTCCTTTTTGTCCCTGAGAGTGTGGAGAGTGGAGTGGTGCTGTCCAGAGAGTTGGAGGTCGCCGGAGTTAGCCAGAAACCTCGCCGGAAGTTTCGCCGGAAAATTCTCAAAACCTTCGATAAGCTTGTAGGTAAGCCCGTAGATATATCTAATGACTAGAATGTTCGTATAGATCGTTTCTACGTTCATAAACGGTCGTTTGGTTGAGTTTTGTGTTTGACATGCTTAAAGAACCAAGAATCATAAACCATTAAATAGATGTTAAAACTATGAATTAATGATGCCAAAATGATCTATGAACCTTGGAGAACATCTCTATATAGTTTTGTTGAAGTTCGGTAACTAAAAACGGTATTCTCGAAATTGAACCCGAACGAAGAAGATGATGAACAGTAACCAAAAACCAGGCTGTTTGGATCGATCCAAATGGATGGATCGATCACCTGGGCATAATCTCTCTACATATGGATCGATCCAAAGGGCTGGATCGATCCCCCGAAGTTCTGATCCGAAAATTTGTCCGAAATTGCTATTTTTGAGCTCTAAAATCCTATTTTTGATACCAATGGATTATGACCATTATAAAAATGATTTACCATAATAAAAATGA